CCAAGCGCAAGGCTGAAGAGGAACCCCTGCGCGGGGACAAGAGAAAGCAGATCCCGCCCAGCCCAGCCCAAAGAACTTCATCTGCCTCGCGTACTGCCCAGACCAGGCAAAGCGCCCCAATGGCCCGCCGCACCTCAGCTCCTGTCTCAGGGGACTCCACTGTTGGAAGTGTGAGTGCATACATGCACCCTCAAGATCATGCTGGCATCCCCAAGCCCATACACGCACCCTTGAGAGCATACAGCCATGCCCCTTTCTGATGACATTGTTCTCCCTCTCTTGCCCAGTACAAGATCAGCAAGGAGAGTATGGCTGCTGATGCACAATGGGCAGTCAAGGTCTTAAAGAAGGAGAAACCCACAGACAGGGACCTCTTTTGAGCAGACAAGATTCTGCTTGCCCTGCGCAACCGTGCAAACGCACGTTGCATGGATCATCTGGCACGCCAGTGCTTTCACTGTGAGTCTTGTTTGCTCCTTGACTATGAAATGCCAGCACTGACGTTGGTCACTCTATCACGCAGAACAACTGGGGCTCACTGCCGTGCTGTGGGGAGGATCTTGCAATTTGAAGGTGAGTTGCTGGCGCCTTGCAACATTGAGCAAGCGCAGGCGCCTGGCAATGTCGAGCAAGCGTTCACACTCATCTCCACCCCAGCGACGTACAACAAATAGAATGCTCCGTTGACAAGCTGCCATGTATGCGTGGGTGTGCTCGCGCGTGGCCGTGCTTTGAGTCTCAGTTTGTGCTTGGTGCAGCACTGCCCGTTCACGTATGCTCGAAAATGTGAGCTTTGTGATGAGACAAGGTAGCACTTCACACACGGCGCTGTAGGCTGCGTGCATCCCAACAGCTGATCTGTTTTGCCATCCATTCAAGTCTTTGACTCGCTCAAGGCACGCCAGACATTACCGTCTTGCGTCGCCCTGACCCAGCTCGACCAAACATTGCCAGGTGCATCAATGGACTGTCTCGATCTATGTATGACACGTACCCCTCGCCGTTGCTGAACTTGCAATGGAGTGCCAATCAAACCTTCAAAGTAATGTCGCGCTCTGGTCTTGGGAGCCCGCGTGCGTGCGTGCGTGCGTGCTGCGTGTGCGCACTTCTTTTCTCGTCCTCCATCCCTCACCGCGCAAGTGTTTGGGTTCACGACTATCGCACGAGAGAACCCTGCTGTGTTCGTCAAGCCACAACAGTTACGAACACGGGGTACGTGCATGTGGCGCGCCCAGGCCTAACGCCACCAATCAAGCCACATAAGCCACCTCA